AAAACTTGACACGTATAAATCTTATCATCACATTATCATTTTTTCAATAAATCACCAAAGCTAAATTTAATGGCTGGGAGCCTGGGATTGGATTTCGGCATCGAACAGATTCAGTACGGTAGCATCATCTCTGTTATCAACTACAAATAGGATTGGATACCCACTTCAGAAATTCTAAGTTCTATGGATTATAACTTCCACACTCTTTCAAAAAGAGAGGTAAAGACTAGTGAGGTGAGGTCACCTGAGTGTATTCAGAGCTGTGGTTTTATTCCAACATGGAAAGAAGATGGCAGAGTTGGACACCAAAGTAGACTATGAAGAGAGACAAAGTCAGGTGAGAAACATACTTACCTGGATGGGGTCAATGGGTGATCAACAAGGCCCATGGCCTAGGTTGGTGACCTCCATTGCACTTGGGAGGGGTGTCACCCTAAGGTCTACTCAAGTGGTGGAGCCTATGTCATAATTTGTCATAAGTGGAGGCCTGTGTTCGCGCGGTCTCTGCCCAATTTAGATGAAAATTTATTTATTATCTATCAGACCAATTCTTTTGGGTGGTGTTTGTTTGATAGGATTGAAAGGGATTAAAATAGTAAAATGGCCCACTTATCCTAAATATGGTTGGAAAATTTGGAATCCTCTCCTTGTGGGATTCAAAAAATCAGCAAGCTCTCTACGGCTGGACCCGAATTCAGGTCACAAGGGATTATCTGAACCCATGGCCATGTTTTTAATTTCTTGCTGGACTTTCTTGCTAATGACTTTGTTTTTGCCAGAGAATGTATAACAGATAATGTTTTTCTAACATCTTTTTTCTGTTTTTTTTTTCTGTTAACAGTTTACTGTTTTTTCAGTTAAAACAGTTGCTGCTTTGATTGGTGTAATTTTCACTTTGTACTTTTTTTTTATTATTCAACGGTGAGGATGTTCAGAAAAATTTAAACAATTAAGATTTATTTTTAAACACACAACTTCGGCTTTCCTAGAAATAAACAAATAACGACTTAAGATTGAGTTGTATCGATATGTGTATTGTTTTTTGTGTTGGAAATTTTTATTTTTTTCATGATGCATATGATTTTTGTGATTAAAAGTGTATTGTACAAATTAAATTAAATAACTGAACAAAATAGTTAATGATATATTTTGTAAAAATGCATAATTTATTGATTCATATTTGTTGTTGTAAAAAAAACAATACTAACGGTTTGGATTTTTTTTTTTCATTTCATTCCAAATATGATATAGGATTGGATCACATTGTTTATACAAGGGTAAAATGGTCATTTTAACATATTTTATCTTCACATGTTAATGGGATCCACAAACCAAATAAAACCACTCCAAATATGAGATAGAATTTGATTCTCATCTTTATAATCCTACAATCTGGACCACTTTGCATTGGATTGGATTGGGTTCGGATTCAAATCCAATCCAATCCAATCCGATCCTTCCATGGTGATCCAAACACCACCTTGGGTTACATGTGGGCCAAACAGTTTAACTTTTTTTTTAGCGCTTTGAAGTTTACAGTTATCTGGTTGCTTTTGACTGAACATAGAGTGGGAAAAAACATTCTAGGATAACTTGTAGCTACTAGACTGGCTATGAAAATCTCTTGTGATATGTCCTGTAGTATCATTTAGGCTGATTCCATGGTCTTCGAATTAACACAGGAGACACATACCGACACCGGGAGAGGGAGAGGGAGAGAGAGAGGGAGATAATTTTGGTATGTCATACTCATAAACATAGTTCCATTTTATTCTATGATCTGCAATGTATGCAGTTCTTTATTTAGACAATTAGTAAACATCCAAAGAGCAACCATGTAAGTTATTTTTAGTAGCCATTGTTATCAGGTCAGAACTGAGCTTGAAGATAAGAAACCGTATTGTTGTCCACCTGGAAGGCCTTTGTAAGAACATCAACAGAGATTGGTGGCTTCGACCCGAACACTGCATTTGCAATGGTGATTACTCCTGGATTCTGACTGCTCAGTCCGGAAATAGCCACTGCAGGTGTGTTTCCAACATTTTGCTGGAAGTGAATAAGACCAATAGGGAACACAAACACATCTCCTTGGCATAGGACCTTGCTTATGAGACGATTGTCGGGGTTGGACGTAACAAATCCCACAAAGAGGGAACCTTCCATGACAGTGAGGATCTCAGTACCACGAGGGTGTGTGTGTGGAGGGTTGAGGCCATATGGAGCAAAATCAAGGCGTGCCAGCGAAATGCCAAGTGTGTTTAGTCCACCAATTTGATTAACTGTTACTTGTGTGACCATAAACCCGAGTTTATTAGACGTGTTACCAGGTACATTGAGCCCAGGGAAGAAAAAATCATTAGCTGTGGCCATCTTTGGGTCCTGACAGAATTTCCCATTCACAAACACTGTATATAAACAGTAAAATTGGCAAGCATTAGAAGATGATAAAAAAGAAATTAATACTGATCCAAATATATCAATCAAGCTTTGAAATGAAGAGAAACATTATGTACCAACAGAATTTGAATCGTTGACAGCAACACAGAAGTCCTGAAGAGGACTGGGATCATAGGCATAGGCAAGAGAAGAAAACATAACCCAAAGGGCAATATATGCAAGAATTTCAGCTACTGCCTTCTTCATGTTGCTTCAGTTATTTAGCCAATCGCTATGAAACAAGAAGATTGCTCTTTGCTAACTTGCGAAAATGTAATCATGGCAATACTGTATATATAGTTCTGGAGTCATTGACATGCTCAAACTTTGAATCAGTCTAATTATAATCAAAATCAGTACATATGCAGGGTAATTAGAGTTACCAAGTCTTCAATCTTAGCAACCCGCTCTCAAGGTCTAGCAAGCAACTACCTCAATAGCCCAGGAAAAGTCAAGCATATTCGAGTATCTTTTCTGCCTGTTTTGACAAAGTCTCTGGATTAGAGGTCTCATTTGGAAAATCTTACTGACAGAAAACTGTTAACTTACGTTTGGACAACTTCCTATCCATTTTTTTCTGGAATCGCTTAGATTATCTGCACAATATAGGTGTTATGTACCATTAAAATAGCACCACAAAAAGACTGGCTAGTTAAAATCTCCCATTTAAGAAAGCTTAAGTCCATGTTTTCTGAAAATCTCTGCCCCAGTTGTAACTTGTGACACTCGGTTGTTAACCCTACAATGGATTAAAGTTGTACATGCAACTCCATCAGACAGTGTGACCCGATTTCTGGCACCTATAAAATTGGATCCAAGCCTTGCCGGCCTCACTGTGAACCAAATTGATGCCTGTACAAAAATTGCTATTGAGCTGCATCCAAATGAGATCAGACTGGACCTTTGGTAGCTCAATTCCTAGCTGCAAGAGCTAAATCTAAGACTGCTACCTTGGCTTGTGTGGTAGCTGATTCCGCGGAGGAGGGTGGACGCCCTATGGGACAATAGCTTTGGGCTGCCTGAATATATGCTAATTGCTAATATGCCAGCAATAAGATTTGGGTTTTGACTGGGACTATTTCCGAAATGGATGTAATCTGAGGTTGCATTAGTCATTTCTATATAGCCTATTTGTGAAAAACAAACAGGGGGCTCATCTTTTTCCATACTAGATTCCCTCAATTGCTAGATTGACACCGCCCATCCTTAATCCAAGTGGATCCATTGTATTCAATTGGGCCTAAACAAATATAAGTGAACAATTTAGAATGGAGGAAATAAGTTCCTAATCCCACTAGCAGACTGGTTAGCTTTTGTTATTACTTATCAGTGCTAGATTATCATTCACTTCATTAAAAATGTTAAGGCAGAGAGAGAGAGAGAGAGCATTTCCATTGACCTGAGGAAGCTACAAATTGTTTTTCAAGTGATATTGTTTTCCCTATCGCTCCTTTCAAGCCTAGAGAGGGAGACGTATACGCATTCATAAAAATAAAAAATAAAAAATCACAAGGAGACATGGAGCTGTGCTTAATAGTCATTGAATATTGAACAGCTCCTTATCGTATATACATCTTCCTATATAAATCAATGATCTTGAAGCAAGCCACTGCTGAGATATGAACAACTACGGCATAAGGAGAATATGTCTAACCAGTATCCATTTAACTACAAAATCAAAAGGCTTCTAGACCATCAATTAGCTACTTATCTTCTAATTGTTATGTTGGTTGATATTTGAGGGTGGCAAGAAAGGGAAAGAGGAAATACCAAAAAGATCGGAAAAAATGGTCATTAAACCTGCTAGGGAAGCACAGACATGCCCTTCAATAGAATATTGATTACATCAGCTTTGACTGTTAACCATTCTAACGTCTGTTAGTTAGAGGGGGTTTGGTTGTTATAAGTTTCAAATGTTAAGAGGTCTCAGTGTAATTGTTGAAAAGTGAGGGGGTGTCTATATAATAAAGCCAAATGTCAAGGTGTGTGAGTGTAATTTACCCTAAATAAAAAGTAAAAAAATAGAATATTAACATTAAATATTTTATTTAAAATTTATGTGGATCAACACGAATACGAACACGACACAAAAATAAACAGGTCAACTCGTAACTCAATACGACATAATTAATTAAATAAATTGAGTTAGGTTTAATTAATGTTCAACACAAATCCATAATGAATTAACACGAATCTAACACAACATGACACGACTCGATTGTTACCCTTAATCTTAGCTAGTACCAAAAAAAAGAAATTAATTCTTTTTATTTTCTATCCATCCAACCAAACACAAGAAAGAAAGTGTATCATTTTTACTTTCCTTCCTTCAAGAATAAAAAATATATCCCTATTATTTTTCATCCTTCCTATTTTCTATCCTTTATACCAAATGGAGCATTAGTATCAATACTAATTTGATCTTTAAGTGAACCATTCCTATTTTCTATCCTTTATACCAAATGGAGCATTAGTATCAATACTAATTTGATCTTTAAGTGAACCATTCATTAGGATGAGGTAAAATAGAAGAAACCTTAAAATTATGGCAGCTCGAAAGTAGACCGAATCAAAATAAAATCATTTCATTAACTGGCATTGAGCCCAGTGACATTAAAGTCATGCACATTACCACAAAAACTAACGAATATGGACAGGAGAACCGAAGGGCAACTGAAACATTAAATATACACCCACACACACTCAATTCTCCAGCTCATCAATGGCACAATGAACCAATGTCTTACATCCACCCCTCTTTGGCTGATAAAAACATGCATTCTACTTGGCAACCTTCCCAAAACAGAGAATGGAGGATTGAGAAGAATCCTCATATGGCAATGAGCTTCCTATGTAAATGCTCTCCAGTAGAACTCACATCTCCATCATGATGATGAAAGACTAGTGTCAAAATTCCAACTAAACATAGGACTGAGCCTACAAGAAGCTTGTCATAGCGTTCCACCCAGTGAAACTTCAGCTGACTTGCACCATAGAATGAGAGCGCCACCAGCGAGGTCATCACAGTTATAGTGCTGCAAAATCCACATCACTTCACATCAAGCTTCATAGCTGATGAACTATCCCAGTTAAACTATAACTCCACAAACATTAAAAAATGTTGCAATCCAATAGCAGTAGATAATAGGAGAATTCAATATTAGTTGGTATCGGAATCCTAAGATATCTGTAAAGCAAAGGAACAATCAGCGAACCATGATTCATTATCTGTGAAGCAACACATATATTATATTGTAGCAAATTAGTTTGTGCTTGCCAAGCAAAGGAAGAGATTGAGCCATCAAATCTCACACAATGGAAAATCCATCCAAGGACACCCACAAGCACCAGCAATATTTGATTATAGTATATGGAAAATATTATGTTTATAAGAAAACATTTCAACAAGAAATAGAAAAGAACAGGTTTTGACATACACGGCCACTTCAGGGTGACAAAAAGATAATTACAAGGATTATGACGCTTTCATATGCCTAAAATAAAACAACCCTCATAACATGGTATCACTAGATGAAGTGCATAGCTGTCCCTGTTCAATTTTCCTTTTCCAAATCGTTCTCATAAGCTCATTTTTTTTTTTAGTTTAACGGTTAGGGGTGTCTGGGTCAGCTTACGCACACCTCGACTAATGCCTCCCTATTCCGGTCAAAGGAAAGTCATCTACACCGAGATTAGGGTATTCACAAGGGATAAATCCCTCATGACCTAGCCTCAAGGGCGCAAAATTCGAACACAAGTCGTCTGAGTTTATACCTCATCCCTGTTACCAATTGAGCTACTTGTGAAATTCTACAATCGAAAGAGGGCGAAAAGACAATAGAGATGAGTATTGAAGGTAGTCTTACCTAAATAGCAGAACTATGATGGCGAGCACCATCATGGAGGATGAATTCCCAACAGCAAGAAACACAGGAAGAGTGGTTGCACAAGGAGACAGTGCTGGAACAAGGACAAGCCCAGCAACAGCCATTTTTTCCATGGGTTGGTTGTGGGAATGGCTGTGACCACCCTTTCCAGACAGGAACAATATAACATAACTACCACCGAGAATTACAAGCAACAGTGAGGCAAGTTTATGCACAGTTTCCTCTCCAGCAATAGTGTTTGTTATGGTGATTGCTGTTATGCCAAGAAGCGAAGTGGATATTACATGCAACACCGCACCAAATGCAGCTGCATGGTTAAACGATTAAATAGACAATGAGTGCAAGTATGTGAATAAGAAGGCATTTCTCAAAAGTATAGTCCCACCTTGGGTATGAAGATCATAATCACATAAAGCTCTACACATTTCACAGCTTTCTTAAGTGTAAAACTCGATAGCCCTTCAACTTTACAAAAAATTTAAAAGGTATAAGACAAATATCAGGATTTAGATTCCCAAAAGGCAACATGTACAGGTAAACTGAATCTATCAGCAAAAAATTCACCGATGTGTGATGTAATTCGTGGAATCATCATATATGAAGCTTTCCATGGGCTGAATTGAAAAACAACCAACCCCACATCTAGTGAAAGGGGTGATATCTAACCATAACCATCACTTTCATCATATTAACAACCATATGTGCGTGCCTGTGTCATGGTGACAGAGATCTTGAGTAGGTGGTGCTAATAAAGCAGTCAATCAATCAGGTACAGGTAGCCTAAGTCACATCCACATGACTAGTTCATAATCCAATCCTAAAACTTCACCCTCAAATGAACCAAATCATTCCAGGTCAGGGCACGTGCATGAAAGTTACTTAACTGGTCCAATAAAATTCTAACATGAATTATAGTGCTCTGACATCAAAACTATCCTATTGTTCACTTCAGTTTCCAATCTGAACAAGGTCCACCCCCACTCCAGGTCCAACTTTAATAATTTAACATCCAAATTTAATTAGATCTCATGAACATCTATATTATTCTAACCTCCCATATATAAAACTTAGAATTGGTTTTGGGTTAACCAAGTTTTTGAAGATTCAAACCCAGAGTTGGACTATCCTGAAACCTAAATGTTCATTGAAACAATGCCTTCTAATTCACAAAGTTTGAGTGAGTTTATCTAAACATCTAATGCGAGAGGATTGAAGCATGTTAATGGGTCAGGCTAACCATTTGGAACCTCTACCCAAAGCCAGCAAGACAAAGGAGGTAGCGATTCTCTTATTCATATGCTGCATTCATGAGGGGAGGCTTAAAAACATAGCCAAGAAGTGCACCAGAAATTCGAAGCCAGCACCCAGCTAGATGTTTGCTCTGCATGAACCCTTCAACACTCATGGACCTTTACAGGTAATTTTCTGATATTTGTTTTTGTAATACTCATAATACCTAAATAGGTATCACACCACAGCCTTCATATTCCAGTGGAGCTGAATAGAAATTATAATTCTATTCTAGTAAGAATAACCAAGAGAAGTTGTGGTGGGATTCTGAATGCTGGAGATTCCTTGATAGAATAACTGGACAATTTAATCAGTTGACAATCTTAACAATCCAAAGAGATTGGCCATTGTATTCAATAGCATGTCTACCAAATCCGAGCATCAAGAAATTCTCATGTTTAATCTTTCCTACAACCTACATTCAGCACAATCCCTGCATCATGAAAAAAACCTGGGCGGTTCTGACCTACACTGCTTTGGTCCTATATATCACACTAAATTCAGTTTTAGAACTTTGAGGGGAAGAAACAACAAGCTACACTTGAAAAGGCCAAACGACCTGATATTTGCCGTGCAAGCAGCAGCGTGAGGCATAGGCAGGCTTGTCTATGCAGAAAGCAGTTGCACAAAGCACTTAGTAGAACTACATCAAATATAACTAACGAAACAAGCAAAAAAAAAATCCCTCACTTATCCATCACAAACTATGTTTCTTTCTCTACGATCTGTAAATTCCTTCATCTCCCATGACATATTAAATAAATAGAAATGGAAAAAAAAAAAAAAATCAAGCTGAACTATGTAAAGCATCGTGTAATTCTAATTCCCAGATCCTCACCCAACCCATAATCCAAATAGCTGAATTTAAGAATACATACAAGAGCTCTATTAAAATGATGGAATACAACATTGGAAAGCTTCCCAATTCATTCTAAGCAAATCATTATAATCTTTTACCTTTTTCCTCTGTTTTCTAAGCAACCAAACACAATTCAACGTAAATCGACAAGATCTATACATATGTAGAGAGAGAGAGAGAGAGAGATGGGGAGGAACGTACTGACGAGAAGTGTACGGGAGAGGGTCCATTTCTGAGCACGACCGACAATGGAAAAGGGGAGCCAATGGGTGGGGATGAAAGAGTGCAAAACCGAAACAGTGGCGATTCCTCCGATTGTTGAGAGATCTTCCGCGCTAAACCGACCTTCCATTTTCTTCTAATTCTCTCTCTTTATTTATGAAACAAACAATTGGGGACTATGATTTGTACTGGGAAAACCAATGAGAGAGAAAATGCCTACATTACGTCCTGATCTGTTCAATTGTTGAAGAAGAATGTGAGTTTCTGTAGGTTGAAGAAGAGAAGGAGAGATCCAAATATTAGGGCAAAGGAGATTTGCTGGGTTTCTTAATCTCAGATAATTTCGGAGCTTATTAATTACTTTTCTCTTTTTCATTACACAAACTACACTTACCACCCTGATCGTTTACCAATATTGCAACGAAGGAAATGACTTATTGTCCGTGTTCATGAATGGCATAAACGGGGAGAAAATATTCAATGTAACGGAGATATTATATCATCACTCTCACATGGTATAATCATTTAATTAAAAGATAATAAATAGATAAAATAAATTTCACTAATTTTATATATTATTGATTGAATGTAGTGGTTATGGCAGTTATAAAAATAATAAGATTCATTTTATCTAATTATAATTTTTTAATTAGATAGTGACACCACGTAACAGTGATAACGTAGTGTCACCGTTACATTGAATAGTTACTGGTTAACGGGACATGCCCTTTCGAATTTTACCCTCTCAATAGACACTGAACCCCCATATTTGTCACTTTAATAATATTATTTAGACTTAATTTTTTAATATAATTTATTAATTTAATTCATCATAATTATTAAATAATCATAATATAATAGTTACAGTTGATTAAGTCAATAAATTAAGTTTTAAGTAACATTATTGTTGTCAAAAAATACATTATCAGAATATAAAAAAATTTTCAACTATTTTTGGAAAGTGGAACTTTCCAATTACACCCTCATGATATAATGCATAAAATATTGCATTGGTTGGCTATGTCAGTAGTTTTTTTTGTGCAAAAAAAAAGATGGGAACAAAAGAGTGCGCCCCGAAACTATTCTTATTAATACCCATTTTGACATGATTTTCTAACTCTGTCCCTAATCATGAAACCCTTACCTATACACGTTACTCTTTTTCAAATGAATCTAACTAGATTAGTATAGCGGCTATGTCAATAATTTTTTTATTTTTTTTTATCAGTAGTTTACTATAGCTGTCTTTTGCTTAATTTCTAGCATTGGGATTATATATATATATTGGGTTTGGTTTGTGAAAAAATAGAAAATGACAAATCATTCATATTTTTCATGTGTTTATTGATAGTTTAAACTCGAGTGATTTTGAAATAACAGTGCATCCCCTTTATTTTCCAGTTGTACTTTATGAGATATATTCCTACATTCATGATGTTTTACAGGCAGCAAAATCCACATTAACCCAAAGTGACCATTTCACCCATCCCACCACCTTTATTCAACTTAACTTTGTCGCAAAACTTACAAAATAAAATAATTAAAAGAACATCGCTCTCATGACCGAAACTATCATTGTACATTCAACCCCCTTCACTTCATGCTCTTATATTTTCGGGTTTCAACCATTTCAATCACCAATTTCATATATATATATATATATATATATTATTTATAAATATTAATATCTATAAAAAAATTATTTTTTATTTTATCCCTAACTATTATAATAAATCAATTATATTCACTTATATATTTTCATCTAATTTATATCTTTTATATCAATTTATTTTAGACTCTTTTATAAAAATTTATAAATTCTTTTGAACTCATTATTAGTAATACAATTACATATAATTATTTATATTTATATAAAGAAATAAAGTCTTATATATGCTAAATTATTATACACATGTAATTATCAGATTGAATTCTACTGTCCAATATATATTATATTTATTTTTTAATTAGTTATTGTATATGCCTGAAGGCACAAAATAATAAAAAATAATAAACAATAAATATATTTATATTCATATCCAAAATCAAATCACAAATATAAAAAAAGAGATAAATAAATTTAAGTGTCGGTTGTAGTAGTGATGGTGGTGGCGACGACGGTGGTGGTGGTAAAGGTAGTGGTGGCAGGGGTAGTAGTGGGGCAGTTTAAAACACTATTTTTTAAAAATACTTATGAGAAATAATTGTTATAAGTACTTTTAAAAAGTCATTTTCAAACACACCCTTAGGGCCCTTTTTTTCCTATTAAATTTAAAGTGTTAATAATAGCCGTTAGATTAACTTTAAAGTAAAATTTAAAACGATTACAACCGCGAATAACAAAATTCATTTTATTTATCTTTTGAGATTTGAATTGTAAGTTATTTTATTATATATACTAGTTATTATTTGTGCCTGAAGGTTCAGAGTAATAAAAAATAGTAAATAATAAATATATTTGTATTTATATTCAAAATCAAATCACAAATATATAAAATAAATAAAAGAATTTAAACATCGATTTGTAGTAGGGTGAAAGATGGTCGATGGAAGTGGTGGTGACAGTGATGGTAGTGGTGGTGACGACGATGATAGTGGTGATGGCGGTGGCGAAGGTGGTGGTGGCGGTGGCGAAGGTGGTGGTGGTGAAGGCAACAACAATGGTGGCGGCAGTGACGACAGTGGCGGTGGTTGTTTCAAATACTATTTTTTTTAAAGTATTTATGATATGTAATTTCTAGAAATACTTTTAAAAAAGTCACTCCAAACACACTATTAGAGCTTTTTTTTCCTATTAAATTTAGGATATTAATATTAACCGTTAGATTAATTTTAAAATAAAATTTAAAACGAACTCAACCGCAAATAGCAAAAGTTATTTTTGTTTATCTTTTGAGATTTAAATTATAAGCTATTTTATTATATAGATATACAATAATATAATAATATTAATGCAATCAAATTAATCTATTTAACAAAATAAAAATTAATAATTTTATAAATATAATTAAATATACAAATGTCTAAAAGGTCAGGAGTACATAAATAACAAACTAAATATTCAAAAATTTATATAATTTAACAGTAATTAAAATATGAATGAACTATTCAACACTTAATTTATTATTTGTAACTAATTTAGTAAACTTATTTGGTAACATGATAAATTATTACTATTAAATTAATAATGGGTCACAACTAAGATTACTAAACAAAGTCCATTAACATTTCCCTTAATTTAATTACACATATAATTCACATTTTATATAAAAATAATATTATTTAAATATATGTACTAATACATACATATATCCATCCTCTTACACCGCCCCATATAACCCACCGCCTCCCAACCCCTCATTCAATCCACCCACCCAAAAACGCTCCATGGGTATGCATGTCCCCATCTCCACCTCTAATAACATATTTGGGTTCTCCCAAATTCGATAGCTTCGGCCTTCAAAACAGCAATCACTTGCTTGGTTCGAGTTTGGAAATATAATCCAATGGGGAGTCTTTCATTAAGTAACATTGGCTCAACCATAGCAAAGGACACCAGGGCATATAAACCCAAAAAACAGTTCATTGGAGATATAAGTATCGAGTCAAAATGGTCTGTCACAACACCATCAAAACTTGCATTGCAAGATTCACTGAAAAATTAACTCAATTTTTCATAAAGGAAGAAAAACAAAATCTCAATCTATTCTTGGAGGACTTCTCTTAAACAAAACAATGGGCTAATTTCTCATGATAATCAGGCAAATATCCCTCAGCAGAATTCTCTACCATCCATTATGATCTCAATGTTCACCAGCCATGCTCTTAATAATATCAGAATCACCTGAAATAGATAAAAATGCTAATTATAAAACTAATGATTTTGCATTTAAGCACTTGTACAAAGAAGAGTGAATAGTGATTGTTTACCTGGGTCGGTGATGCTGAGGCAGCATACCCTGTAATATTTGCCACAAGCAGTCCCCAGGTCTACATTGTCTGGAATAAATAACAACTCTTTGTAATTAAAGGATAGATTTGACTAAAATGGCAAGGAAAAACTACAGCATATCACTAAAAAATTAACTCTGCTCGCATACCTTTAACTAGAACATCAAAGGCAAAAAAGAAAAAAAAACTAGTGTACATTGCCATCGAGAAGGAAAGTGCCCCAATGCAAAACATAATATCAATAACCACCACAATAAAAAACAAAAAACTAGACATTTGAAAAGGATTCTTTCCATAAACTCAATTGCAAACTTGTGATAATACACATCAAGTTCCTGCCACTGATTTGCAACAAAAAAAATATCAATAACCACCACAATAAAAAAACAAAAAGATAGACATTTGAAAAGGATTCTTTCCATAAAGATGGTTGATATTATTTCACTATTTTTCTAGACATAATCCCAGACAAATCCTACAAATGGCAATGAAGATCTAACATGCAAAATCAAATCCTGAATTGACTTTTGTTCTCAGAACAATGATGAGATGTCATCCACACAATTCTCAGATCTTGGATGGCAATGGTAACCACTGACATGGAAGGCATGAAAACCCCCTTTTTGGTTAACCCCCTTAGTACGGATCCAATCTGAAGCCCTATATTTCTCTCAGGATAAGCAGCAGCTGTAGCTCTAACCTTGAGTTCTCTCTTTCAATAGGTTTTGGGGCTGATATTCTATTTGCATTATAAAGCCTAACTGTATCCTCTTTCTTAATCAGAAGCTAAGTCACATAATTCATCCATAGGTAATCACGCTCTAGTCGCTCCGCATGCGAATGCCTGAACTGAGAACGAATTCATGACAAATTCGTGTTCTTACTCGACCAAATTTGCAAATTCAACATCATCAATTTGAAAACTCTTTTAGAGTCTGCCAACTGACACACCAGAGGCTAACACTCACTGACTCATGTGATTACCTCTACTGTGCTTTCCAGCTGAGGCTATCAAAGCATTAAACCATGAATTTATTTGGGAGTTTGTGCTTTCCAGCTGAGGCTATCCCACTGCCCCTTGTATAAGCTTTGTTTAAGTCCCACATCTTCAAAGCTTTCCAATGTGGGATCATGACTTGGTTGGTGAGACTCTCACTCACACTGAGCATTCCATAAGCTTGTTTAAGTCCCACATTCTCAAAGCTTTTTGAAGTGGGATCAATGTCCCAGGCATAAAAATGCCTTCCGATGGTATTTTGCTAGACCTTCATCATATTTTTATTAATTTTTATATATATAAATATGTATGTATGTACGTATGTATATAGTATGGCACTCTCACTCTCAGATTTTTTTAAAGCTCAGGCTCCAGCTTCGGCTTCCTCTTCCTATCATATGTATATAGTATGGCACTACTGCTCTCAGATTTTTTTAAATCTTTCCACTTTTGCGCCCCAGCCGCTGCCCCCACTTTATGTGATCTAGATCAAAAGTCTTACCTCTTGACTTTCCATCACATCATTTTTCACATAAAGCCATGCTTCTTTTTCTTCAGTTATATTTTGATATCACAGGCTGAACCCATCACCCCTTCCTGTGTGCACTACACCAACCAAACCTCATGTCAAACACCCACGGAATAAAATCTACGAAAAATTCTTTTTAACCCCAAGTGGCTTGACAGACAAAATGAGGGATAGATACAATGTTGTGTACAAAGGAAGGACTGACAGTGGGGATGAAGATAAGAAGAAGGATAGGGATGTTTCTATCTTTTTTGTAACGATTAAAGGGCATTTTGGTCATTTTGTATTAAAATATGACTTGGGTTCAATTTTTAAATTGGCAACTCTTGAATTAGGGGCCTATGTCACAAAGTCCATCAATTTGAACAAAATGTTGTAGTAGCATTTTAATGCAATACAGCACAAGGGTCACATTTGAACCATAAGGTGAAGTACTATAAAGCCAAACAACATGAGGGTAACAAGAATTTGACCTAAAATCTTATAGAAAAGCTTTCAAGAAAAATATAAACAAGATATTCTTCTAACAGTTAACTTCATCCAACCAAATGAATATCTTAGATAAAGAAATATGTTTGGATAACACAAGCTCCATTTATAGTGAATACTATCAAAAAAAATTAGTATAGAGCAAAGTAGCTGCAACATGGTCAAAACTTACTCCCATTGTAGTGGTGAACTCCAATTTTTGCCAACATAGCATAGTACTCGATCTCAGACTTCCTAAGAGGAGGGCAGTTGTTGGCAATGATAACCAGCTTTCCTGTTAAAAAAATGAATAACAAGGGAAAAAAAGACTCAACTTACAGTCACATTCGTACAATACACTGCTCATTTGATAACAAAGCAATTTATATTCCTACTAAGAAAAAACTTGTAAAAATTTTTCTTTGAAGGGCAAAACAATATTCTCATGAACTAGATAACCCCTACGTACACAATCAGACAAGAGCTAAAATAGTGCATATCAGGCCACCAACACAGTCTCAGCTCTGACGGTCTTTGGTAAGTGAGAACTGCTTCTCCAATTCAGATTCACGAAATGGAGTTCATAACAAATTTCCACGACATCAGTTTCCACGGCCTCAGACTAAATTACCCATTATCGTGTCATTCCCTTCATCTAGGAACTCATTTCTAATAGTAGGGCTTAATACTTCAAAACACGAGAAAAGATCCAATTTAATTATGCACCCTGTTTGCCAATGTGCAAAACATACCCAATCAAATACCAACCTAGTTCAGAAATTGATAAAAAATTCAGCTTGTGATCAATAACCAGCTCACAGAGTTCGTGACACAGCAAACAGATCCCAGGAAGATGACCAGAACCTTAATCTAACTTTCGTATTACCAACAGAATCAAGATGCACATAAGCAAATTAATGCTCAATCAATAATTACATAACAGCAATCAGCATATTTGGGGATAATGTTATACAGACTCCCAAATTTTACAGACATTCTTAACGTTATGCAGCGGCTAATCTACACCCTCCATATCACATTGTGTGGATCCGACTTCATACCATCAAAGTATAAGAAGCGCGTGAAAAAAATGTATTTATATAGTATCACTCAGATGTATATGCAATTGGAACATACAACTCTCACATACAAAGATAATAGATTACCTTTGGAACTCCTGAGAGACTTGAGAACGGTCTTGTAACCCAAAGTGTACTTTCCGCTCTTCATAACCAGAGCCAGTCTGTTATTAATGCTCTCATGAGTCTTCTTCTGCATCCCCAAAAACGAAAAAAGAAAATGTTAGTTGCGACCACAAGAAATCACACTGTTTGACTGCCGAGAAAAAAAAAACAACATTTTCTCAGCATCCAAACAAATGATTTTCCAGAGGACACATACAAGAAAATGTAGAGATGTGGAGAGAAAGAGAGAAGGAGACTACAGTTTTCTTGGTGGCGACCATGGTGGCGGCTGTGACAAAAAAGAAGAAGCAGCAATAGCGTAGACGGCAGCTCAGAAACCCTCTAATTGGCAAAGGGCATTCCTTTATATAATGGCCAATGGGATGTGTAAGATTAGGGTTTAATGTGAAAAATGGGCCATGGAATGTTTTAGGCCCGTGCAAATTTTTTATATTTACTTTAGGGTCTTTTGAAAATTAGTATACGAAATTTGACTTAATTATTAAAAAATACATAAAAAATATTTTATAAGAAAGTCCACTTAAGACATAAAAAAACTTGAATACCTTTTTATTATAAATAAATTTCTTAAAAACAATTTTGAAAATCAACCCCACATTTAATTATCTCTACATTATCTAGTGCGTTTATCTCTCAATCCTCTTCATTTATATATATATACTAGTCATTCTCCGTGCATGAAGACACTCTAAACACAAAAAATTTGTCAAAGCAAATAAGACATCCAAGAATGTTTTAAATAAAAGAAATCCAAGGGTTGAAAAGAAGAAGAATCATATCACATTAAACAATCTGAGAATCCCCATGAATTTAAATTAACACCATTACAAAATTATTATGCCATAAAATTTTTCATGATGACTCTTCTTTCCATCAAATGAGTGTTCATTTTTTAAAACTATGACTAAATCTAATGAATATGTTGTCTAATTTTAGTAAGCAATATCATTAAAAACACATAATTAAATCATTGAATCCAATCAAATAAATTAACCACATTGAACTACAAATCAAATTTCCAAAAAATAGAATAATGCTTAATCAAACTAACATTACCTAGTGGATCTGCTTGTAGTTGCGAAGAAAATTGATTTAAATTCTTTGTTGTTGTGACTTCTCGAATTTTATATAAATATTCTCACCTTGCAATTAAACCAAATTAACAAAATCAAAATTTCATCACTTAAAAAAAATTGATTTAACTAACTTTTTGTCGTTTTAGTTTCTATTTTGCACTATTCAAGTATTCAAAAAAATATGAACATTAGCAAGGGAAAAATGATACAAATAAGGAAAAAAAAAATGTTATAGTTGGTTTTGAATATATATATATATAAGCAATTGGTTTCAATTATTTTTTATATGGTAAGTAGCTTGACTTTGAATTTTTTAGTTTTTTTTGTACAATTGATATCACTTATTATTTTTTTATAAGTTATTAGCTTGGTTCTGATATTTTTTTTTATTTTTTTGGTGCAATTGGTATTACTTATTTTTTTTATTGGTGATTAGCTTCATTCTGATTTTTTTTTTGGTGCAAGTTTTATATATATATATATATATATATATATATATATATATTTGCAATTAGTTTCAATTATTTTTTATATTGGTAATTAGCTTGATTTTGAATTTTTTAGTTTTTTTTTTACAATTGGTATCACTTATTATTTTTTTTTATTGGTTATTAGCTTGGCTCTAATTTTTTTTTTTGGTACAATTGGTATCACTTATTTTTTTTATTGGTAATTAGTTTGATTCTGATTTTTTTTTCTTGTGCAATTGATATCACTTGTTATTTTTTTATTGATGATTAGTTTTACTTTGAATTTTTTTAAGTAAAGAAGTTCAATTAGAATTGTCAAGACAAACAATGTTAAGAGATAGAGTATGATATATATATATATATATAGAGAGAGAGAGAGAGAGAGATAGTATGAGAGATGGGAGAGTGTATTTAAAATGTCTGAGAGAGAGGAAGAGTTATATACGTATAAGAGTTGAGTATATGAGATAGAGTGAGAAAAAGAGTTATATGAGAGATAGGGGAACTTAGAGTTGTAAATTAATGAATGAAAGTTTAATTAGGATCGTTAGATCAATAATCTTCAAATGATCTGAATCGTGAAAAGTTAAAGACAAACCATCTAGCTATTTTATTATATATATTAGTTATTATCCGTGTCTGAAGACACTATATAATAAACAAATTTTTTTTACACAATTGTTCAAATTTAAAAAGAATGACCTAAAAATATTCATACTAATTATTCTTTTAAAATAACTCGAAATATATCGACAATCATATCTTCCATATTAATAAAATTGTTGTAAAAATATATAAAACTCTTCAAAACAAAACCATATATATATATATATATATATATAAATACCTCTAAAAAAATAAATACTAACATAATTCATTAAAATTTATAATCTTTAAATAATAAACAAATTTTTGCTCATTTATAAGACTCATGAATTTATTACATTTACCACCACTCAATCAAATAATAGAATATAATTATAAACACAATCCCCATATTTTCAATCCACTCTATCCCCATGTAACAAATATCTCAAGCAAAAAAAAATAAAAATATTAATATAATGCAATTAAATTCACAATCTTTAAGCGATAAATAAAATAAATCAAATTTTACTAAATTATAAAACTCATAAATTTATCACCACTATTATCATTCAACCCCAAATGGCACAATAAAATTATAAATTTAATTACCAAATTTTCAATCATCCACATATAAATACACACAGAAACATACTTTCACACATTTATTTTTTGGCTACCAATAAATCTTCCTAACTAATAATTATTTTTATTAGAAATATAATAATTCAGGTTTTTATGATAAAATAATAATAAATTAATAGCTAATTAAAAAATAGGGTAAAAAAATACGGACTTCTTTTGAGTTTTGACAATATTCTGCGGACACCTCCTGATATTTTATAAATAACACAGAAATTTCTGGAGTTTAAAATTTATTACACAGAGACCCCTTCTGTCTCCCTCCCTTCAATTTTGCTAATGGAAATTGATGATTTTATCTAAAAAAAATATATTTTTATAATTGTCTTTCTCTAACTTTAGTACCCAAAAAAATTAAAATTTAATAAATAAAATAATATTTAATTTAATTCCCAAAAAATTGATATAATTTAGTACCCCAAAAAATTTATTAAATAAATTTTAATATTAATTTGACGACAATAAAAATTAATTTGATATTAATTCAACAAAGTTGAATATAAATTGGACAAAATTAAATATCAATTTTTGATTAAAAAATATATATATTAATTTATAATTTAAAGTTCATTTCGTGTTGAATATTATTTGTTATTGATTAAACTAACATGAAATTGACCTTAAATTATAATTTTTTTTGTTGTATATAAACTTACAAATTTGTATTTTAACTCATAAAATTTAAATACAGATTTTTTTCATAGCATAGCGTATTTTCTCTTACTATATCATTTGATAAAAAAAATTTTGGTCAAAATTCGACCACACATACTTAAACTAAATCAATTGTTCACCCCCACTTTTTTTTTTAAGAGAATCGCTTACTTCCACTTGTTAAACTCAAAAATATCTAGTTCACATGAAAATAAGTGAAAGTAAATTAAAAATTTTAGTACCAAATTTTTTTGGTGCAATTGGTATTACTTGTTATTTTTTTATTGATGATTAGATTGATTTTGAATTTTTTTAAGTAAATAAGTTCAATTAGAATCGTCAAGACAAAGATTGTTAAGAGATATATATATATATATATATATATATATATATATATATATATATAGAGAGAGAGAGAGAGAGAGAGAGAGAGAGAGTATCAGAAATGGGAGAGTGTGTTTAAAATGTCTAAGAGAGAAAAAAAGTTATATACGTATGAGAGTTGGGTATATAAAATAGAGTGAGAGAGAGAATTATATGAGAGATGAGAGACTTAGAATTGTAAAATGAATGAAAGTCTAATTAAGATCGTCATATTAATAATTTTCAAATGATTTGAACTGCAAAAAGCTAAAGACAAATCATCTAGCTACTTATTATATAGACATATATATATATAGAGTGAGAGAGAGAGAAAGAGAGAGAGCAGTTCTAATAAAACAAAAACCTAAAATTTAGGAAAATTAAAACTCATAATAAATCCTTTTCATTTTTTTTAGAGATATATTTCAAAATTTTTGGAAACTTTTGAAATTTGACAATTAAAATTAAAGAATTTTAATTATCTTATCTTAGAAAGTACTAAAATTTAAAATTTTTGGTCACACATATGTGTTAATATATATATATATATATATATATATATATATATACACATAAACATACAATACTACGAAGTCACACTATAAAGTCTAGTTTTTATTGCTCACTGTTTTGATACACTGTATTGATACAATTTAAAAGGTTTATGAAATTAAAGTGTATCAATATAGTGCAAAAAAACAATGTACAAGTAATAGAAATTAACGTTTAAGAATTACACAAATGTAAAGTGTATCAATACAATGAAACAAAACAGTATACGAGTAATACATATTAGACTTTATAGTGTGACTTCGTAATATTATGTGTGTGTGTATATATATATATATTAATAACAAGAGAGATATGTTTAATGGTAAGAATAATGACAAACAAAAATTAAAATTCAAGATGACTAAGATATACTCGATCTACGTTACACGCAAAATTTGTGATAATATAATTTTTTCATTATATTAGAAAATCTTTAATACAATAAAACAAAATCAAAGTCAGCTTAATTGCCAAAAGAAATATGTATGATTCAAAAGAGGACAAATATGTCAAAATAAAATCATAAAAAAAAAAGACAAATTGTGTACTTGGACACAATTAAATTCTAAAAATAAGGACTTTTTGACCAATAACTCTAATTTTATACACCTACTTATAATTTCACCTTAACTTAACTACTATCATATCTCCATTAAACACGGAATAGAATAGCAAAATTCAAAGACTAAATAAACTAACTTCAAAAAAATCCTCCACAAATCTTATTTACCTACTAAATCCGGTATTCAGGCACAAAACAAAAAGGATTTGAACAAACATGTTTTCCAAGTTTTGAAAAAAATACTGAAACGAACGGAAGAAGAAATGGTATCATAATGTAATGACCCAGTGTAAAACAATAAAGTGGCATCATAGTGTGATGATCCAGTGTAACATCCTTGATATAAGGCTTGGACACTACAATTAAGCATACTCGTTCCCTTGAGTTTAATAAAGTGACAACATAGTGTTACGAC